AGGAGTTTCCCTGCCCACAAGTCTGGATAGGAAGGAGAAGCACATTGATGCTTTGCTTTGAGACAGTCTGGCCCCTTCCAGGCTGGCCTTCAACTCCCAGCCTTAAGCGATTTGACTGAATAACTAACTCTGTTTACTTTAATACATCTTTATTCTTCCCTTCCTTTGAACTGCCGCTTGGCCAATGTAGTGTGAACACAGCTAACTGGTAGTTTTGAATGTGTTGTCTTTAACTAAGTTTTCCACCAGGTATAATTTCAGTGACACAACATGGTAGTGCAGCATTTCTTTCAAACACTGTTGTGTGAAGGGGACATAAGAGCATTTGTTTATCGCTTTAGATTGATTTTGATGACACAAAGGATAAAGTGCTGGTGTTTTTCAAGCTCCGACCCGAAGTAATTACAGATGAGAATCTACATAACAATATTCTTGTTTCATCTATGCTGGAGTCACCCATCAATTCACTTTACCAAGCAGTACGGCAGGTGTTTGCACCCATGTTGCTAAAGGTGAGTGAAATGCTCGTGAATTTATTTTTTATGTGTTTTGGTCACCATGGAAACAGACATATCTATTATTTGATTTACTGTTTAATGTGTTTTAGTTTATTTATTGAAGTTTTTATAGTGTTGGGTGTTGTGTCAGACTTCTAATGTTACTTTCAGCTTTGTTAAGGGAAACTGAATAAGGCTATGAAATGCAGCTCACATCATCTCTTACATAGCTATACTAAACGATGTGTAGAAAGTCTTAACTGTTGGAAGTTGAGGCTGTAGGCTTAGTTTTTAGACAGGGTGTCTTTGAAGCAAGGGAGACTGGCGATGCTTTGATTGTGTTTGCTCCTGTCTGCTTTTACTTAGGACCAGGAATGGAGCAGAAACTTTGATCCCAAACTTCAGAATCTTTTGAGTGAACTAGAAGCTGGATTGGGTGTAGTTCTACGAAGATCAGATGCTAACTCACCCAAGCTGAAACTTAAGGAAGATGATACAAGAGGTACTTACGATATGTTTTGCTTCCATTACTCACTTACCAGAGTCTTACTGCTATTATTATTATTATTATTTTTACATTGTACTTAGAGAAAGAGTGTGAGAGCAGCACACTTGTGTGCATGAATGTGTGTGAGTGCCACAGCACACTTGTAGAGGTCAAAGGACAGCTTGTGGGAGTCAGATCTCTCCTTCGAAGCTTTTGCAATCCTGGGATCAAATTTAGGTTGTCAAGATTAGTGGCAAGCCCCTTTAACCACTATGCTGTCTTTCTGGTCCTCAAAATGACCATTAGTGCTGGCTAGTTTTATGCCAATTTGACACAAGCTATAGAAGTTTGAGAGGAGGAGACCACAATTGAGAAAATGCCTCCATAAAAGCAGTCTGTAGTGAGCTTGTAGGCATTTTCATTAGTAAATGATGGTATCACCCTTGCAGGTGATACCCTGGGGTGCTAGTCCTGGGTTTTATAAGAAAGCAAATTGAACAAACCATGGGGAGCAAGCCTGTAAGCAGCCCTCCTCAGTGGCCTCTGTGTCATCTCCTACCTCTAGGTTCCTATCATGTTTCAGTTCCTGTCCCAACTTCCTTTGGTGATGAACAGAGATACGGATCTTTGGTTCCCAAGTTGCTTTGGTCACGATGTTTCAATGCAGCAAGAGTAACCCTAACTAGGACACCATCTGTAATAAATTCAAAGTATAAAGTGATCATTTCATGGGCCAGGCAGTGGTGGTGAACTCTTTTAATCCCAGCACTTGGAAGGCAGAGGCAGTCAGATCTCTGTGAGTTCGAAACCAGCTTGGTCTACAGAGCTAGTTCCAGGATAGCCAGGACCACACAGACAAACTCTGTCTGGAAAAACCAAAAAAAAAAAAAAAAAAAAAAAAAAACCAACCAAACAAAAAAGTAATCATTTTATTAATATAATTAGCAAATAACTGTATTTCTTCCCAGATTTCTTTCTGTGTTTTTGGATCTTCTATGAATATAAGCTTTTGAAAAGTAAATAGATTGTATGGGTTTGGAGAAGAAAATTTTTTTTAACACTGGATAGTTTATAGAAATCGAAATATTCTGTGTCATGTGGCTTACCTGACCGTATTTTCTCTGTGAAGAACATCAGAGCTGTGTTGTGTTTTCATTTTTGACTGTTTTAAGGCCAATTTAAAACTTAAAAATGGAAAAACTGTGGCACCAAGCACACCAGAGAAAAGGCATTGTTTACAGTATGAGAAAGCAAACTTGTGGGTAAATCGTAGCTCTGAGTTAGCCAAGAGGGTGTGTATCTGATGGCTCAGATATTTTACTGCCTTAATACAGAATACAGGAATAATGAGGAATGGTTGGCTCTATACCTTTTGAAGGCAACAGAGCACCAACTTTATGGTATAATGTATTTTATCTGATACTAGTTTTAATTTTACTGTAGGCATAGATAAATTCAAACTTATAAACAAAATGAAATGCATAACATACAAATAATATTTATTTTCCTTTAATAATCAAATGGATGCTTTTTAAAACTTACCTCAGAAGAATTGCACAATTTCAGCATATGATTAAACACACAGTAATTATCTACTTTATTGGAATATTTAAAAGAGAATTAAAAAATAAAACTATTTGCTTATACTTTCAAATTAAGTTGAGGACACCTATTGATTAAGAATTTACTGTTGATAGGTGTTGAGAGGTCATTTTCTGTTCATCATCTGAACCAAACCTAAACCAGCTGATGAGCCAAACAGTGTTATGCCTTTTCTCTTTCCATTAATAGCTAAATTTTTTCTCTTCCCCTTTTTTTTTTAGGTATTCTCACACCAAGTGATGAGTTCCAGTTTTGGATAGAACAAGCCCATCGTGGAAATAAGCAGATTAGTAAAGAAAGAGCCAGTTACTTTAAGGAATTATTTGAAACGATTGCAAGGGTATGTGAGTCGCACATAGATTGTATATTAGGCTTCTTATAAATGAACTTATAATTAAATTTTCAGTGTCTTTTTCTCTTTTAAAATCTACTTGACAGTTGTAAGCAAGATACATAGTTTGTAAACCCTAGAATTTACTTAAGGTATATGTATAAAGGTATATGTATATGTAAAACATAGAAATGAAAATATTAGATTCTAATCTTTAGGAAATAATTTCCTCAAAAACAAGTAGTTTTCTGAAAGTACTAGGAAAAAACAAATTCCAGGAGCTGGCAGATGCCTCAGTGGTTGAGGTGCTTGCTATGCAAGCATGAGACCCTGAGTTCAGATCCGTATGTGTGTCTAGAACCCCAGTGCTAGGATTGAAGACAGAAGGACTAGCTAGCCAACCTAGTCTAAATGGAGAGCTCTAGGTTCTTTGAGACCCAGTCTCAAAGGACAGAGCTGGAGAGGGCTAGAGAAATATACACAATGATGACGTTTGGTCTCCACATGTGCATCCATGAACAAGTGTTCATTTATAACACACATATACACACATGTGCACACATGTTTGTACACACACAATATGTGCATTTATCACACACACACAGAACTAGTAAACTAACAGATATATTTATGTTCTTTCTGATGGAATGATATAAACTGATATTTTAAAGTAATTTAAAATATGAAGTCATACTTTATGCCTATTTGATTTTCCTTTGCTGTATATTCTTGGGGATTTAGTGATTATTTTAAGTATGATTACAGTAACAGCAATTTTCTATTTGTTTCCACTATTATTTCACAAAGTATTGTTTTTTATTTTTTTAAACGTTATTTCAGAGTTTATTATTGTGTTATGTGTGTGCACTGCATGATGTGTGTATATGTGGACAAATGTGCCTTGGCACACATGTAGAAGTCAGATGTGGACACCTTTGTGGAATCAGTTCTTTCCTTCCACCTTTACATGGGTCCCAGGAATCCAACTCGGGTCACCTGACTTGTATGACAGGTTCCTTAGCACTGAACCCTCTTGCCAGTCTCAACAGAGTCATTTTATGGAGCATTTGAAGTAAATTAAAGCTTGTTTTGATGATAATGATGAAATATAGAATAATGAACTTGTGCTGTTCTTATTGTTAGTCCCCATGTTACTCAGCTCAGCACACAGGAATAGAGCGCATGTGAATTGCAGTGGCAGTGTTTCTGTGCTTCTACTGCCACCTCTGTGGTAAAATAGATAAGCCCAATTTAAAGAAAACTTGGCTAAAGGTCTAAATAAATGAGTAGTCTTTTCACTCTCATTTTTTCAGCCTTTGTAAATTTTTTTTTATATTTGCATGAAGAAGTCAGACAAAGGGAGAGGAAATTATATTTCCAGCAGCTGAGCAAGTCTGGGAACATTTCGAGTGTGTTACTTAATGCACAGATGTGACTGTGTTTCAACGTGAATGTGCTTTGGTTTCAGGAATTTTATAACTTGGACAGTCTGTCCTTGCTAGAAGTCGTTGACTTGGTGGAGACGACTCGGGATGTTGTAGATGATGTATGGAGACAAACAGAACATGACCATTACCCTGAGTCACGGATGCTGCATCTCCTAGATATTATAGGTATAGAAATAAGCTTTGGGAATTTACAAACTCATCCTACTCTCTCTCTCTTTCCTTCCTTCCTTCCTTCCTCCCTTCCTTCCTTCCTTCCTTCCTTCCTTCCTTCCTTCCTTCCTTTTCCTGAAGTTCTTACTTAAATTGCTCATTAATGTAATACTTGCCATTTAAAGTAAGTCTTAATAAATAATATAGCTTTATTTACATACATTTTATTTATGGTATATAGTTTAGTTCATACAAGTGAAATACTTCAATCATTAATAGAACTAAATTTATATTTTTAGTGTTTATGCATGTTAATTAATTTAAAACTTTATTTAAAGATTTATTTATGTGTGTAATACCCACAGAGACCAGAAGAGGGTTTCAGATGCCTTGGACCTGGAGTTATATGCATCTGTGAGTCACCTGAAGTGAGCGGCATCTGAACTTAGGTCCTCTGATACAGCAGTGTTTTAGTCAGAGTTTCTATTGCAGTGAAGAGATACCATGACCACAGAGACCACAGTAATTTTTTTAAACATTGTTTTAAAATTAATTTTATTTTTCACATTCAAATCCCAATTCTCCCACCCCACCTCCCATCTGTTCCTTGGAGAGGGTAAGGCCTCCCCTAGGAAGTCTACAAGTTTGCTCCATCATCTAGTTGAGTCAGGACCAAGGCACCTCCCCACCCCTACACCCCTGTGTCTAGGCTGAGCAAGGTATCTCTCCATATAGAATGGGCTCCACTAAGTCAATTTGTGCATTAAAGTTAGATCTGGGACCCACTGCCAGTGGCCTCATATATTGTCCCAGCAGCACCATTGTCACCTATATTAAGGGAGTCTAGTTTGGTCTTATGCAGGTTCCCTATTTGTCAAACCTGAGTCAGTGATCTTTCACTAGCTCGGGTCAGCTGATTCTGTGGGTTTTCCCATCATGGTCTTGACTACTTTGTTCATATTATTGCTCCTCCCTCACTTGGATTTACTCCAGGAGCTTGACCCATTGGTTAGTTGAGGATTTCTACATCTGCTTCCATCAGTTTCTGGAAGAGTGTTCTAACTTCTCTGGGGTTGTGGATTATAAACTGTGTATCTTTTGCTTTATGTCTGGTATCCACTTATGAGTGAGTACATAATATATTTGTCTTTCTGGTTTTGGGTTACCTCACTCAGGATGTTTTTTTCTAGTTCTGTCCATTTTCCTGTGAATTTCACGATGGCATTGTTTCCTACTGATGAGTAGTACTCCATTGTGTAAATGTACCACATTTTCTCTATCCATTCTTCAGTTGAGGGGTATCTAGACTGTTTCCAAGATATGGCTATTACAAATAATGTTGCTATGAACATAGTTGAGCAAATGTCCTTGTGGTGTGAATATGCCTCCTTTGGGTATATGTCCAACAGTGGTATTGTAGGGTCTTGAGGTAGGTTGATCCCTAATTTTCTAAGAAATCGCCATACTTATTTCCACAGTGGCTGTACAAGTTTGCACTCCCACCAGCAATGGAGGAATGTTCCCTTTTCTCCAAATCTTCTCCAGCATAAGCTGTCATTGGTGTTTTTGATATCAGCCATTCTGATTGGTGTAAGATGGAATCTCAGAGTGGTTTTGATTTGCATTTCCCTGATAACTAAGGATGTTGAGCATTTTTGTAAGTGTTTTTCTGCCATTTGAGATTGTTCTGTTGAGAATCTTCTATTTAGATCTGTACCCCATTTTTTAATTGATTATTTGGTAGTTAGATGTTTATTTTCTTGAGTTCTTTGTATATTTTGGAGATCAGGCCTCTGTCAGATGTAGGGTTGGTGAAGATCTTTTCCCATTCTGTAGGGAGCCATTTTGTCTTGTTGACCATGTTCTTTGCTTTACAGAAACTTCTCAGTTTCAGGAGGTCCCATTTATTAATTGTTGCTCTCAGAGTCTGTGCTACTGGTGTTTTATGTAGGAAGTGGTCTCCTGTGCCTATGCATTCAAGTGTATTTTCCACTTTTTCTTCTGTGCGGTTCAGTGTGGATGGATTTATATTGATTGAGGTCTTTGATCAATTTTGACTTGAGTTTTATGCATGGTGATAGATATGGATCTATTTGCATTCTTCTACATGTTGACAACTAGTTATACCAGCACCATTTGTTGAAATTCTGTCTTTTCTCCATTTTATATTTTTAACTGCTCTGTCAAAAATTAAGTGTTCATAGGTGTGTGGATTGATATTAGGGTCTTTGATTCAATTCATTGGTCACAGAAGCTCTTATAAAAGAAAACTCTTAATTATGTGGCTTACAGTTTCAGAAGTTTATCATCATGGTGGGATTTGGCAGCATGTAGGCAGACAAGGTCTGGAGAAGGAGCTGAGAGTTAATACATCTTGATCTGTAAGCAACAGACAGTGAGCTGAGACACTGGGCATAGCTTGACACTGGGCATGAGACTTCAAGGCTTGCTTTTACAGTGACACACACTATCTCCAACAAGGCCATACTTACTCCAGCAAAGCCAACTTCCCAATAATGCCACTTTCTATGAGCTTATGGGGGCCAATTACATTCAGATAACCATAAGCAGTAAGCACTCTTAACTGCCAAAACATTTCTCCAGTCTGCCTCATATGGTCATTTAAAAATAAACTGGTTTATATTCCAATATTACATATTTGACTCAGAAAAAACTACCTTTTTCATTATTTCCCATAGAAGATGAGATAAACTCATGAAAGCCTGTGTTGCAGTACTTTTTGTCACAAGTCAAATCAGATGGCAATTTGCAATTGTTTATGTTTGCTTCTTCCATGCAATAGGTGCTGTAGCTGTTCAAGAATTATGTATTTGGTACAGTATGTTGAATGATCAAGAATGCAAGCTAATGTCTGTATACACATATGTATCTTTAAAGACAGTTACTTTATAAATAATGGTAGTCTAAGGGTGGGTAGGCAGTATTTTGTAGACTCTTAGTTGCTAATTCATGTTAGTGTTTTCCTAAGTATATATTTTATAATTTCATATAAAATATTTCCTTTATGCTTTATTAGGTGGTTCATTTGGAAGGTTTGTTCAAAAAAAGCTGGGAAGTCTGAAACTGTGGGAAGATCCTTATTATCTTGTGAAAGAAAACCTGAAAGCTGGCATTTCAATTTGTGAACAGTGGGTGATAGTCTGCAGTCACCTCACAGGTCAGGTGTGGCAGCGCTATGTCCCTCATCCATGGAAAAATGAAAAGTATTTTCCAGAAACTCTTGACAGGCTGGGCAAACGCCTGGAGGAGGTACTAGTTTAATTGTCTGCCTCATTGTCTTTATGTGGGAGTGGGTTTTCACTTGCGTGTGATTGCATTTTACAATTGTACATGTGTGAAGGGAATGATTTATGGCTTGTGTGAGCATAAGAATGAGTGTCATAATAATAAATTTTAGCGTGCCTTTGTGCAGGTTGAGGTACATAGTGGTTACTAAGTCCTAGCTTTTTCTCTTTTCCCTAGATATGTGAGTGAGTGGTCACCATGCTAGTGTGAGCGAGTGGTCAACATGTTAGCTGTGAAATTCTGTTTTGTTCTTTGTTGTAAAAAAATATGATGCAGTTTTTCCTGTATGGGAGCTCTCAAACTTTCTCTTGGCTATTAACATTGCTTCAAAGTTTGGCTCTTTTTGTAGGATGTACTCGGTGGAAATATTTGAACAGTTTCTCATTTACTTCAGCTATGAGCTTTCATATAAATTACATTCTTAGCTTCAAAGGAAAGGCAAAATGAAATTGCAGATATAATTCTGTCCCCCTTCTTAGGAGAAACACAATTTGAAAAATACAAACATACTTACTGGGCGTTGGAGGCACACACCTTTAATTCCAGCACTCAAGATGCAGAGGCAGGTGGATCTCTGCGAGTTTGAGGCCAGCCTGGTCTACAGAGCCAGTGCCAGGATAGGCTCCGAAGCAATACAGAGAAACTCTGTCTTGAAAAACAAACAAACAAACAAAAAAACAAAACAAAAAAAACAAAAAAGAAAAATACAAACATACATAAAAGAGTGAAATACCTTCAGTTTTGTTCATTTACAGAAGTTACTATAAAAAGGTTTTCTAAACCCTTTAGATTTTAGACCTTTACAATTATTTTCATTTCATACAGTTCATGTTTTAATATCTCACATTTTAGGTCTTGGCTATTCGGACAATTCATGAGAAGCTCTTGTATTTTCTACCTGCCAGCGAGGAGAGAGTCATGTGCTTGTCTCGAGTATTCGAGCCTTTCACTGGTGTGAACCCTGTGCAGTACAACCCATATACCGAGGTTGAGTCTATGTGTTTTTGTCCTTAATTTCCTTTTGTGTTCTTGAGTTTTAAAGGTTGCTTTTTACAACTGTGCAGTCTAACAGTGTAATTAATTTGTTTAGCCATTATGGAAAGCTGCAGTGTCTCAGTATGAAAAAATCATTGCACCCGCTGAGCAGAAAATAGCAGGAAAATTAAAGAATTATATTTCAGAAATTCAAGATAGTCCACAGCAGGTAAATCATTGAAAGATTTTACTTTACAATTTTTTTCCTTAAGCTATTTTAATGTGAGTGTGGTTGAATTGAGATAAACATGTACTTTGTCTTATGCTAGCTTCTTCAAGCATTTCTAAAATACAAGGAATTGGTGAAGCGTCCGACTATAAGCAAAGAACTGATGTTAGAGAGAGAGACATTACTGGCAAGACTTGGGGACTCAGCTAAAGGTAAAGTCCCTTAGAAATGGTTTTTTAGGTGGATTTTTCTTTGATGCTTACTGTTTAGGGTTAAAAGCTACATTTAGACATTTTTATGACAAGGATTTATTTACTTATAAATGATAGATTTATTTTTATTTTATTTTTTAAAAAATATTTTAATTATTTTATTTTATGTTCATGTCTTACCTGCATGTATGTTTGTGCAATTTGTGTGTCCTTGGTTACCATGGAGGCTAGAAGAGGGTGCAGATCCCCTAGAATTGTGATAATTGTGAACTGTGGGTGTTGGAAATCAAAACCTTTTAGCTGTTGAGCCGTCTCTCTGGCCCCTGTGTTTGTTTTTATATTAGCAGATTGTTCTTTCTGTACCTTACTTATTGCATTGATTTGTTTCTTTTCTTTTGCTGTGATAAAATGCCCTGACTGAGGCAAATCAAGGAATGGAGGATTTATTTTAACTGACAGTCCAA